ATGACTTTAAGAAGCTCTTGGATGAGGCGACTGCACTGGGCCTCCGCATGCACGATGACCTGTCCGTGGCTATCTTCCTTCGGACGTTCGATGCGGTTCTGCACGACGCGAACGAGGCCTTATCGACGGCTGCGTTTCTCTTAAATTGCAACTCGGGCCATGCATGCTCCATTGCAGTTGTGCCTGAGGGTAAGCAGGCCGAGAGCATCGTGGCCTGCTGCCGCAAACTTGCTGCGAAGTTGTTCCCGAACAAGTCTGTTCCGGGGGAAAATCTTGACTCGCAGGAGGCGATCGCCAGAGATACACTGGGCAAAATACTCGACGCTGTGAAGATCACCCATGAGACCCACGAGCGCCTCAAGCTACCGGAGGAGCTCTTGAACGACCTCGACCTGTGCCTGATGCTCTTGGACTTCGGATCGCTCAGCAGGTCGGACGCCAACGAGCTGCTTCAGAAGCTCAATTCCTCAAAGGACCTGAGGGACTTTCCGATGTTCAGCCTAATGAAGGCGAGCAAGATTGGCAGGGTGAAGCAGAAGCAGTTTTCGGCGCGCTGCGAGGAGGCAGCGAAAGATGAGGCGATGCTTCAGTTCTGGACCAAGGCCGCGGCGGAACTCACCGAACTCGTGGAAGACACGGCGCAGGACAACCGAGATTCGAAACTCTCTGAGCAAGCTAGCAAGCCACCGTTGTTTGAGGCTACTAATTAATTAACCCAAGGACCCCCCCCGGCCCGTGGCCTGGGCCTGGTCCATGTGTGAGTCTGAGTCTGAGTCCTCAGTTCAGTCAGATGACGGAGGTCCGGAGGTCCGAGGCCCTCGGCCTTGAGCAGTTTTGTTGTCAGAGCGGCTCACTGTTGGCCTGCGGCCCAGGGCCCCGGATGCCCCAGATGCCCAGGCAAAAGAGGCAACATTTGTCTAAGAGGCCCGTCATCGTTCGATGTGGACCCCAGGGCCCCGGGCCCAGCCAAAAAAGAGCCAGGGCGGGAGCCAAATAACTATGTGTCATTCAGCCATTCAGCCATCCACAGGAGAACGTCGACGTCGACGCGATTGCCGATAAGCTATCCGCTCTGTGCGATACCTGCAGCTCGTTCAGCAACGAAGCCAAGGCCGACGGTAAGGTGAGGTCCGATGCTTTGAATGCGATCTGTACGGTCGACGTCGCTCGGATGAGACTTCTCGAGACAGGCCTACTGAACCTCGTCACGGCCATGAATGCTATGAAGGGCCAAGATGCTGGCGCAAACGTGGGCTGCAACGCCGAATCGACGTGCCCCAAGGCTAAGCACTTCCGTGACATCTCCAAGCTTGACCGCGCGATCAAAGATGGCATGTGCAAGATCCATTCAGCCTTCGGACACGAGGGGATGACCTTCAAAAGTATGTTGGGCAGCTGGGCAGGGCTTGACTCAGTGGTCAAGATGGCGGAGCTACTTGAGCAGGCAGTTGGTGATTTTTCGGGTTCGGAGCAGAACCTGCTGAGCAAGTCTCTCCCGAAGGTCGTGGGCTTCGCCAAGTTGGTTGTCAACCTCCCCGTGAAGGAGCTGACCTCGTGGCTGGAGAAATGCGTCTACCCCGTCATGGCCAACAACGACCTGCTCGACCTGGGGCCTCATATAGACAAGACCGTGCAGGAGTGGCCGGGCCGCAACTGGGGGTTCCCCCTTTTCAAGCCCTATTCCCCCAAGGAATCTCTGCAAAGTCAGGGCGTTAGGGCCCTGGCAAGGCCAACGGACCAATGGGCCTGACAGCCAGGAGTTGGCCGTCAGGTCTGTTGGCCGCGAGTGCGAGTGCAGCGCAGGCAGTTGGCTGCCAACTGTGAGTCAACTGCCTGCACTCGCGTGAGTGCCCAGCCAGTTGGAGGCGAGGGGCCCTCCCCCCCCTCCCCCCCTCGCTGAGGGAGGGAGGAGGGAGGGGGGAAGGATAGAAGGAAACTCGCCGTTTTGCCTTTAGCCCCTAAGGAGTTCAATGCCAAGCTGAAGGTGCACTTCTCGAAAGCGATTGCCAATGATGTCGGTGGCCAGCTGCCCATCGACCCGTCGCAATACCAGTCAAACTTCGCGGGCGCTGATGGCAATGTGAATCAGACGGTAGCAGGCGCAGTGGCCATGCTGGATATGAAAGTCGTTCTTGGGAGGCTCGACGTCATGCTGGGCTACGCGATGGTCGCGAACAAGCTGGGAGTCCAGAGCGAATCTCTGAACGAGCCGTGCCTGCAGATGTGCGCTGCCATCCTGCCAGCTGTCAAGAAAATGGTCGAGTGCCAGGCGGAGGGCAAGAGCAAGGCGTTCCCGGATAACCAGAAGTTCAGCTTCGCTCGCGAGGCGCCCTTCTTGGAGAAGTTCACGAGTGCCAATGCAGAGATCCAGAGTTTCAAGATGAGCGCTGGGACCTTCGGCGAGGCCAAGGACATGGCGGTCAAGAGCTTGACCGCGTGGCAGGATGCAGTGGTCAAGACGATCTTCGTGCAGGCTGACCTTTCGGTGTCGCAGTTGTCACAGGACCAGGGTCATACGGAGTCTGTCCAGGCCTCCCCGATGATGGCTATGCCCTGAAACCAAGTCTGGGCCGTGGCCCCGATGTGGTTTTAAGGCATGGCGAACGGGGGCGCCAGGTGGACTCCGCACGACCCTTGAGGACTGCAAGGCAGTGGAGTCGCTCCTCCTGGAGAACATCAATGACGTCATCGACGGCATGGACGACCCCGAGACAGCCGAGAAGCTCATCGCGTGCTCGGGTCGCACTGAGATGATGCAGTTCCTGAAAGTGAATGCAGGCTCAGACGGAGGTGGCACGAAGCGTCTGGAGAAGCTCGTCTCGGCTCTTGCAGGGACGAGCGCAGACGCCAAGCAGATCAAGACCTACAATGACGCGATCGAGGACGCGACCAAGACGAGGACGAAAGTGAGGCTGCAGATCACCGCGAGGAGCGGAATGCTGATCGTCCAGAAGAAGAAGACTGGAGAGGTCACCCAATTTCTGAAGCAGGCAAAGGAGCTCAAGGTTAACCTGCCCAAGAAGCTGCGCACCCGCATCGACGAGATGAGAAAGGGCGTCGCCGTCGCCGTTGCCGACGGCTCCTGACGACGCTCAGCAAGCTGAGCAAGCTGAGCAGGCAGCCTGCTGCAGGCTGAGCGCTGAGCAGCAGGGGTCGACGCCGCCAGCGTGCGTGCGCCCGCCACGGGCCGCAGGGCCGCAGCCCGCAGCCCTGCGGAGCTGAGCCACTCGCTGCGAGTGGCGGGAGGAGGGTGCCGCCGCACCCCAGGGTGCCAGTGCCGCCTGCTGGGGCACTGAGACAAAATCGTTTTTTCTCCTCCCCCCTCCGCCGCCCCTGCCCCTCCCCCCTCTCCGGCCTTCCGTCCTCCCCCCCCAGCTCCCTCCTCCCCCCTCTCCCAGCTCCCTCCCCTCTGAGAGGAGCGAGAGGCTCTCTCTCCTCTCTCTCCTCTCTCCGCTCATCTCCTCTGTGCTCCGTGCTCCCTCCCTCCTTCCTCTCCCCCTCCTCCTGCGGCCTGCGACTCCTGCGGACTCCTGCGGCAGCTTGCGGCAACTTCATCCGCTTCATTTCATCCTCTTCCGCTCCATCTTCCTCTTCCGCTTCATCCTGGCATCCTCTTCCGCTTCATCCTCTTCCTCGTTCCGGCTCCAGCTCGGGCTCTCCTCGACTCCTCCTCCTCTGACCTCCTCTTCTCCTCCTCCTTCTCCTCCCTCTCCTCCATCTCCACCTCGTCGTCGTCCTCCTCCTCACCTCTTCGTCCTTCCCTACCCTCCCCCACCCTCCCCCACCCTCACCTCCGCCCCCTCGTCTTCCAGGCGGCCTGCCCTCTGTGCGAGTGGGTACAAGGGGGGAGGACAGTGAGGGGGGGAAGAGGAGGGAGGAGGAGGAAGAGGAGGAGGAGGAGGAGGAGGAGGAGGAGGAGGAGGAGGAGGAGGAGGAGGAGGAGTCAGGAGGAGTCAGGGGGAAGGATGATGAGGGAAGGCCCGACTCAGCCCAGCTGAGTCGGGCTGAGAGGGAGAAGAAAGAGGAACATGGTGGCAGCATGTCACGGAAGGAAGGACGGAAGGAAGGATGGAAGATGGAAGTAAGGACGGAATGCAGGACCAGGATAAGGAGGACCATATACCATAAACCATAGAAAGTAGGTTGGGAAATCAGGAGGATGCCAGGATGCCTGAGGAGGAGGAGAGGAGGGGGGAAGGTGGAAGAAGGATAAGGATATCTAGATATCCTATATCCAGCGCCATTTTCGAACCCGAAGTCGGGGAAATCAATCACGCCACTAAGTCAAGCAGATTACGCCAACAAGTCCTTGCTGCGCCCAGGTCTGACTTGTTGGCGTGAATTGCTAGACTTGTTGGCGTAAAATGCTTGACTTAGTGACGTGATTTGCCCGACTTCGGGTTCGAAAGTGGCGCTGGGCTATGCGCTAAGTCGGAACGAAAATACAAGAAACTTCCGATCTGGACTTTATGCCCTAGTCTTGTGGGCGCCCTAGTGTTCACGGCGGGTCACACAAGTTCTGCATGCTGGCAGCATTGGTTTTGTGTGTTGACAACCTTAAAAGGCCATTAAAATGCTAACCGCTGCCCCCCTCCGGGGAGGGCGCTGCCGCCCGGGCGCGGCGCTCTGCCTGCAGTGGGGGGCCACGCCAAGAAACCAGGGGCGCCCTCGTCCTCCTCCTCCTCCTCCTCCTCCTCCTCCTCCTCCTCCTCCTCCTCCTCCTCCTGCTCCTCCCCCTCCTCCTCCTCCTCCTCCCCCTCCTCCTCCTCCTCCTCCTCCTCCTCCTCATCCTCCTCCTCCTCCGCCTCCTGCTCGCGGCCCCGTGCGGGGTGGGGTGCCGGGCTGCTCGCGTTGGCGCCTGGCCGCCCAAGGCGCGCGCCGGCCGGAAGAAAGCGCAACGTCGGCCCACGGCCACGCCGCCGGAGGAGTTGCCGAGCTGCTCCCCGTCCGGACTTGCCCTTTCGCTGCTGTTCTCCCTCTGCGCCTCCCCGCCCTCCGAGGAGGGCAAGATCCTGAGGTGCGTGAATGACAAGGCGAACCCCAGGACCTACGTGGTACAGATTGGCGAGGGCGGGGACTCCTTCCAGGCTGCCGCGCGTTTCTCGCGGGACTTGCCTCTCCCGTCTCTCGTTTAGGGCAGAGGAGGATGAGGAAGAGGAGGAGGAGGAGAAGGAGGAGGAGAAGGAGGGGGGAGGAGGAGGAGGAGGAGGAGGAGGAGGAGGAGGAGAGGGAGGAGGAGTAGCAGGAGGGAGGAGGAGGAGGAGGAGGAGGAGGAGGAGGGAGGGGAGGAGTAGCAGGAGGAGGAGGAGGAGAAGGAGGAGGAGGAGGAGAGGAGGAGGAGGAGGAGGAGGAGGAGGAGGAGGCGGAGGCGGAGGAGGAGGAGGAGGAGGAGGAGGCAGGGGAGGAGGAGGAGGAGGAGGAGGAGGAGGAGGAGGAGGAGGAGGAGGCGGGAGGAGGAGGAGGAGGAGGAGGAGGAGGAGGAGGAGGAGTGGAGTGGAGCAGTCCCGTAGGGAGTCCAAATGTGACGGCATGACGGCGACGACGGCGGCGGCTGCGGGGGCCTCAGTCCTGGGAGTTGTTGAACGGGTCGTGTGCGGGACGCGCGCGCTCGCACGCGCCGCCGCACTCTCCGCTCTCTCTCCCTTCCCGCGGCCCCCCACCAGCCCTCACCGCAGGGCCTGGCCTCTTCGGGCCTTTTCCGTCTTGCTGAAAACCTTGGGCCACTTATGGGCCTTGAGGTATTCTCTCCTCCACGCTGGGATATGTTCAGGGCATTGCTTGGCAAGATTATTCAATCGTTGGTGGGAGAAGTATCCGCACGCTATACAAAACCACACGCCGAGACCGCTATGGTATTGTAACTGGTGCGAGGAATCAGCCCACCCCCCAGCCATATGCAAACAAGCCCCCTCTTGGAGAGATTGATAAATACCCTCTAAATTAGTTAGCTAAAAACACGGACTGCAGCGCCAAGCTTTGAGGTCGGACGGTGCGGCCGAGCCACAACAACGAGCGCATTGTTTCCCACTTTCGTCCAGCTGGTGCTCGCTACACATAGCTGCAACAAGCAGGGGAGCGGGAGGGATCACTCTCATTACGCCACTTGGGTGCTCACCTTTTTTCTCGGACGTCTATCGACTTCGTTTTCTTTTCCTTATTGTGCGCATCCAGGGTTGAGCGTAGCAGCCGATGTCGTATGAAACAAACGAATACTGGCTGGGATTATTGCCTCTTCTGCCGCCGTCTCTGCTATCTGATCTGGTGCTGCGTTACCGACGATCAACCATTTTTTGTGCACTGCAACTCCGTCCAAGTGAGAGTTGACAAAGATCACTGATATCATGGATTCGCATCTGGACTGCATTTCATCATTGATCATGGCCCAAAGGTCGGCATCTGGGCCGTCTGGCGTCTTTCATTTGCTGTCGTACCAGCCTGAGACGACGCCAAAGTTATCCGCAACATACACCACGTCGCCATGTGTCAGTTGGATTGCCTTGAAAAAGCCTGTTAGTTCTCCTCGAGCAACTGTTTGTCGTGGGCCTGCCAGAGGCCCATGCACCGTTCCAACAAGAATGAATTCTGGATCGTTCCTGGTCGGGGCAACAGCTTGCACCAGTCCGATCCCTACCCTTCTTAGCTTCTTACTTCTGGAATCTGGGCCACCACTGGCGTCTCCGAAGAAAACTATGGGCACTTGCTGGGTTCCTACAAGTCACACCTCGTCCTCTGGCTCCAGGATGTCGCCTCCAAAACTCCAGGTGTCCTCCTGAGCGTGTGTGTGTGTGTGACCGTCCACGGGGCTGGGGTGATTCCTCGCAACCAGTAGCACTCCGCCGACTCCCACTGGGAGTACGCCTCGCCGATCTACGTTGCCGTGGGGTCGTAGGTTTTGTTGCCAGCGTTTTTTTTCGCAACCCCATGTTCGATGGAACGGAATGGGACCTTGTGTCCTACCTGTATTCATTAGGGCTTGTCCCCACGTGAGAACCCCAGTGCAAGCTGACGCGACTTCGGCTGGCACGGGATGCCGGCCTCTCTCCTCCCTGTTCGCTTCTTCCCCCCCCCCGTTCGCTTCCCCCCTTCCCATGGCGGCGGCGCCCCGCACAGCGCGGCTCCGGCCCGGTGCTGGGCACTGCACCTTGCCGCTTCGGCGGCCCCGCTTGCCCTGGGCAGCGCGGCGCAGGCCCGGCCCTTGGACATGCGATCGTCAGCGCATCTTGTGTGGCTCGCGCCCGTTTTCACGCGCTGACTGTGCAGGTCAGGCTTCCTCCCTGCGCACCACCGACATCCAGTCGGGCACAGACGGCCCTGTTTCTGGCCGCACCTGTTGGCTGCTCCCTGGACGTGGATTGGACTACCACCCCAGGCCGCTACCGACCACCCGGTGGCTCAACGCTGCACGTCGTCTGCGTGGTCCTCCTCTTCCCCTAGGCCTCTCCTCACCATTTGGTGGCACACGTTGCTCATCGCCTTCATGGTGGACTTGTCCCCCCTGGACGTCGATCTGTTCGCGCCCTTCCGCGCGCAGCACTTGAGGATGGTGATTTTGATGCGCCGTCGACGGCAGCGCCACACCGCTCACCCTGCGGGACGCCGCCCCCGGCTCCTGTCCAAGGTGTACCTTTTCCTGTGCAAGCACTTCCGCGCCGCCTGCGCCCCGCGCCCTCCAGCCGCCTGAGGCCCCGCCCGCCGTCGCCCTGTCCCCCCAATTTGCGCTTTGCGCGGCCCGCCAAGATCTTAACCAGAAGAGGCTTGCTCTCGACCCGCAGACCCAAAACAAAATTCGATGGAACGGCGTTTTCTCAGGATGTCCGCATCTTGGGCATTTTGGGCACATTTTCCCTGGAGCCCATTGGGCCCGTCTTGATCTCGGCCATGTTCCTCCCGTCGCTATAGCTACCGTTAGTTCTGATAATATGTGTCCTTCAGGAACATCACGTAATTGTTTAACAAGTTGGACAAATGATTCCATGTCTGCTCCGTTTCCCAAGCCGCCTCCGCAAAAATGTGGGTTTGTTTTTTTGTCCAATGCATATTTCCCGATCAAGTTTGAACTCGTCCACTAAGTTGGCCGCCGTTTGTACATTGACCCATTTGGTCGAAGCTGGCTCTGGGAATTTCCACTCAACTTGTTCTCTCTCAAAAGTCGGCGGCCTTTTCCCAACTTTCTGCCGATGTTGGGTTCCAGCTTGTTTCAAGGAGGTATGCAGTCGTTGCTGTCAGTGGGCCCCGTATGTGGCGCACACTTTTGCCTGCATCCATCTGTCTAAAACTCTGATTTTGATCATCCCAACCTTCTTTATTGCGGGCTGGAGGTGTCGACCCTCATGTGCCCACATTTGAAACCATAACTGCAAACATTCTGCTGGCATCTTGACTCCAGGGTCAGCATCTGGACACTTGAGCGCCAGCAGCGTCGTTAAGCATCTTCCTGACGTGGGTGCCGCGCAGATGGCCCCCAATATTTGTTTGAATACTTGGAGATGTTTCCCGAACGTTCCGTGCAACTGGTGGCCGTACGAGCTTGCTGCGTATGATCCCTGACGTTCCAACCTGTGCATTCTCTTGTATTTCCGCGAAGCATGTGCAAACTTTCATTGTTTCTGCATGAGGGATGTTTTGTCCATTCTCTGGGTTCTCACTGCTCTTGAATGTCTTTTGCCTCCTCTCAGATAAACTCCAAGATGAACTACCCGCGATTGGGTTACCATGGGGTAGCCAGCCTGTCTGACTTCCTGGCTATGAATTGTGCGTCCTCAATATTCGTACACAACACTGCACTTTAACTTACAATCGTGAGTTTTTGTTTTCCAATCCTTTACATGTTGCGACAAGCACTTCTGTTAATTCACGTCGTATCATATTTCTCGAACCCCATGCACTTCGACTGAGGTAATCGGTCCATATGCGATGTTAAAAATTTGGGCGCGCACACGTGATGGCGTCCAGCACGAAATATACGCGCACTCGCGCAAATCGGGTCCCTGATCTGAGTCCCTGCACAATCGATAGTGTGGGTCTGAATACATCCGAAAAAAAACCCTCGCTTGTCTTAACGTGCGGGGTGCCGTGCATTGCAGGAGTTCTAGATAGGGCACCCGTGGTGGATATCCTAATCTGAGCGCGCACTCGATCAATTTCTCCCGCACAACTGTGCCGTAAAATCCTTTTATGTTTGTCAGTTCATTTCCACTTGCTGTTTTTAAATGCACTGCCAATTCTTCATTTAGAATTTTGGCGAAGGCCTCCCTCAATGCTGCATTTCCCTCGGCTGCCGCATCCCACTTTGGGGCTGTGGTTGTCGACCACTCCGCCACAAAGGGGGTCCCTCGCCTGGGACCAGATCCCGCATGTCATTGCCATGAGTCCTATGACCCGGTCTCCGTCTCCTCGATGCTTTGGCGTCATGTGCCCAATGACCAACTGTGTTTGATGCGGCTATGTGGGTGTATTTTCACATAATTCATACAATTCGCACAGGTCTTCTAGGGCAGGGTCCGACTGGCGCTCCACGTCCGTTGGTGAAAGTTTGTCCACGTCTTGCCCGATATTCGGTCTCGTGTTCCTCGTCGCCCGTCGTATATCTGCTGGTGTTAAGTGCAGGGGAGACTCAGCCAAAGCCTTCTGCTTCGCCTGATCAAAAGCCGCATCCAGCTCCTCCATGTCTTGTATCTTGGGTGCCCACAACTGTTTCCACTTGGGATGGTTGGCATAAATGATTGCTTTTGGCGACGTGTGTACTTTTCCGCTTTCATCTTGTTATTAGTGTTTCATTCAACAAAGGTGTTTCTTTGATTGGTCTATGAAGTGTTCCCACTGCCTGCGGTGACCCAACCCATGTACTGAACTGTTTGAGAGATATTGCCATCGCACGACCTTGAGCTCTTTTTTTGCAACTTTCGGCACAAGTATTGACAACCTATTCGCATTGCCATCACTTTGCTCATCAATGGTTCTCAACGCTCTCTGGATACTGCTGAAAGTCGGCTCCAACCTCATCAAGGACTGAGCTGTTTCTTGCGGTACGTAATTTGCCTATTATTTGCGTCCTTTTACAAGTAATTCCAATTGCTTTGGTATAGGTTGCCTTTTCTTGTGTCTGCTTATATGTTCCAAAACTATCGATATTCTTGTCCACCAATATGCTGTCTCATCTGCCAAAGGTTGAGCTCCACCATGTTGTGTATGCTGCACCTTTCCATCACGAAAACTGGCGATTGCCATTTTCGACGGGCCAGAAGGGAGCTGACATGAGTGGTGGGTGCAGATCGTTTCCTCCAGCTCCGAGACCCATGTGGCATATGCGCTGGAGGCTGCGCCAAGATGGCTTGAGCCAACACGGTTACAGAGAGAGTCAAGGAAGTGCTGGGGTGGAGGGCAACTGCTGGCTGGCACGTATCCGGCACGGGGGGCTCGTTATCTTGGCTGTTCAAACGGGGTGGGGGAGTTATGCACGCACACTCTGGATTATTTGGCATCGTGTCCTGGGCAAGCCAGTCCTGGTCTGGCCACACCTCCAGGCTCTCTTCTGTCTCGAACTCGAAAAAGGTCATCGCCGCCAAAATCGCCAGAGCCACTGCTTCGAGCACCTTCGGGCGGGCGGATCTAGAGCGTCGTGAAACATATTAGTATAGATCTCAACTCTTTTTTTCCCGAGCTGCGACCTGCTTTAATTGACGCTGGGTTCTGGCTACAGAAGATTTGGACCCAACCGTGACCTCTTTGGTTGGGCGGGGCTCCTGAGGCAACCTACCAGGAAGCTTTAGCACTCTGGTGTCGAGCTGAGTTCCCGACGAGGCAATCTCGATGGACAGGCCTATGTGAGGCTTCCAGGGCACACTGACCACAGGATCAACGCTTCTTATGAGGGGTCGGGCGGAGGCGGAGCACACGATGTAGTCAATGTGCGAACCGTTTATTTCCCGTCGAGCATGTGACCTCAACGGGTGCCTGCACGATGCTACCTCCAACTGCTTCGAGAAAACCTGTTTTCACCAACGTCGCTGGGGGAACATTGAAGTCGCCTGCGACCGTCCAAGGCACTTTCAACGAAGTGAGAAGGGCTCCTAGATGGTGATATCTGCTGAGATTTGTCCCGCTCGTACCAATTCACGGATGTCCATAGAAAACAACCATCGCCATGACGAAACCTTGGTACTGCACGAGTGATGCGCAAAATCCGTCCCAACAAGCTTGCCCCGATGCCTGCAAAGATTTGAAACACTCCTTTCCCAATAGAGGTTTGACGTTGAGGTGGCCCTTGGACAAAATCCACTCTCCTCCTTCATTTGACTTTGCCGCTCTGGCGGCCGGAGGAGGAGGAGGAGGAGGAGGAGGAGGAGGAGGGGGGGGGAGGAGAAGGGGGGGGAGTGGGAGGTGGGGGAAGAGGGGGATGGGGGAGGAGGAGGAGGAGAGGGAGGAGGAGGAGGAGGAGGAGGAGGAGGAGGAGGAGGAGGAGGAGGAGGAGGAGGATGGGGAAGATGAGGAGGGGGAGGAGGAGCAGGAGGGGGGAGGATGGAGATGAGGAGGGGGAGGATAAGGATCTGGCAGGGTACATTTCGCAGCGGATCTGACCCGCGCGCACTCCGTCCCTAGCGGGGCGGCCAGCCAAAGGGAGGAGGGCAAGATCAGCCTTTTCGGGCCCTCCGTCGTCTCGTTAGCAGTCGAGCAGGGCGGCCGGTTTGGATCTGCACGGCGATAGCATGGAGCTCGGCGGCCGGGCTGCGGCGCTGAATTTGCGGCGGCTGCGCGCGGACTTCGAGGCCGAGGTTGTGCGCCACGTATCGCAGACGGGGCTCGCGGCGGTGGGCGGTCATGCGTTGCGCGCGCGCTCGGCTGGGCAGCCGCCGCTGAGCGTTGACGCCGTGCTCGCCAGCCTGGCGGCGCATACCGCGGCGGGGGTGGCGGGCGGTGGCGAAGAATGAGGTCGAGGCACGGCGTCGCGAGCTGAGGCCGACGGTGTGGCGGGAAGATATGCTGCTCAGGTGTCGGGGAGGAGGAGGAGGAGGAGGAGGAGGAGGAGGAGGAGGAGGAGGAGGAGGAGGAGGAGGAGGAGGAGGAGGAGGAGGAGGAGGGAGGAGGAGGAGGAGGGGGGAGGAGGAGAAGGAGGAGGAGGAGGAGGAGGAGGAGGAGGAGGAGGAGGAGGAGGAGTCAGGTTAGCCAGGTCGAGCGATGCAGCAGGGCCCGCCCATTCCCACTGCCCCTTCCCCATGTCCCGCGAGAAAGTGGTGGCACGGCTTGGCATTGGGATTGGACCGCATCCCGACCTAGCAGGCGGACAGCGCTCGCATGCGTCAACGGCACCGTAACGGGTACTTACTAACAGGTACTTTGAATTTTTGCCGAAAGTTGCCACTTTAGGGCCTTTTTCTTGCATTGCAGCTTTGCCCACATCGGGAAGGGCTGGGTTCGCTGGGTCACTGGCCAATGTACCCGTTAGTGGAGTCCCCGTTTGAGGGGCGCTGAATGCGGTCCCGTCCCCGACGACTTGGAGATGG